CAAGTCCGCTGTATTTCTTCTTTCTTTTTCTCTTTCTTTCTTTCTTTCTTTCTTTCTTTCTTTCTTTTCTTCTTTCTTTCCTTCTTTCTTTTCTTTCTTTTTCTTTTTCTTTCTTTCTTTTTGTTGTGTATGTATGTGTGTGTGTGTTTACGAGTAATGGCTCACGAGATTTAGTCACAAGGAGTAAATTACTAAACATGCTTGTCTCACTTCTTTATCCTTTTCCTTGATTGTCGGAGTATGAATAATTTGAATTGCTATTAGCATTGTTGATATTACAATAATCATGATATCAGTAATACTAAAAAGATAATGAATAATGGTGATACTAATCATAATGATATTAGTAATAAATAATGATAATGATATAATAATGAAAATAATGGCGATACTAATCATAAGGATAATAATAATAATATCGATATGAGTAGCATTAAAAAAGTGTCGAAAAATCAAGGAAAAGGGAAATCGGGGAGCTCACGTAGGCCTACCAATTGACTCCATGTATATTTAGAAAACAAAAATAACTGCAGTCAACACAAACATTTATAACGACCATTGTTAAACTTCATTGCCAAGGAATAGTATTAATTGTCTCTGTGAAAAGTGTGATTGACAGCTAATTGTTTCTCTATAAAACTCTGGTATATATACTAGGTAGTTATGGCATGTGGCATTTATCACTGCTTTGAATTTAAATGATTTGAGTCATTCCTAATCCCCCATTAATAGAAGAAAATAATAAAGTAGAGAGCGAGGAAGACAAGAACCAACATCATTTAAGCTAGATAGGAAAAAATGACAAAAGTGTTCAACCCTTATTCACTAAGAAAAATAATTAAGGAAAAAAGAAAAATAAAGACGATTAAAACAAAGGCAGTAGGAAGGATAACGAAGATAGAAGGAAAGAAAAGTGTTTTGTATAACGTGGTTTCTCAATAATGTAAAAAAAAAAAAAAAAAAAAAAAAAAAAAATAGTCATCATAACTAAGAAGTAAATTAATATCTGTGATACCAGAATATTTTTAAATCAGGCAGTTTTGAATTAGGGATTCATTAAATCGTGTAATATTGAGCATCTGTCATGTCGTATATGTGACTTGCAGTTTAGTCTTTTTGTTTCAGGTGAAAACCCAAAGCGTATAGACAACCAGTTAGGAGAACTTTAATAACGGAGATACAATATAGTCAAATCGTGTCTTCATTTCCGTGAGGAAGAAAAAAAAAAGATTTAAACGTCATTTTTTTTTTTCTTCTTCTTCTTCTTCTTTTCAATATAGTTCCATTTCCGTGAGAAAGAAAAGATTTAAACTTCATTTTTTCTTTTTTTCTTTTTTTTTTCAATATAGTTCTTGTAGCAGTAGGAATGGCTTGTTAAACCAGTTACTTTCCATAACTGCCTCCACCGCTTCCTCCTCTCTGGCCGCCCGAGGCACTAGCGCTGCACTTTCCGCCTCCGAATCCGCTGCTGACCACCGCTAAAAACCGCTGCTTCCGAATCCGCCGCTTCCACGCCGTTGCCTCCAAATCCACCAGCACCACCGCCGCTGCCTCCGAATCCACTGCCTCCACTGCCGCTGCCGAAACCACACGCCTCGAACCTCCCACCCGCTACCGCTGCCTCCGAATCCACCGCCGCCGCCTCCAGAGAGCTTTCCACTTCCCAGGAAAACTGCGGGGAGCACCTTCCGCCCTCCGCGCCGCACGACCCGCGTATCCTCCTCCGCCGCCGCCAACCAAGTGCGTTGCCTCCGAATCCTCCAGCTCCTCCTCCACCAAATCCACCGCTTCTCCACCAACACCCCTTCCAATCCGCCTCTGCTGCTCCACGTCCTCCACCCTCTCACTTTCTCACTCTACCTCTCTCCCCGCCACTCGTCCTCCTCCTCCACCACTACCATATCCTCCTCAGCCGCTGCGACGTACACCATCGCCATCACGGCCACCATCACCACCTGGAAATAGTCAATTCGCTTTTCAACAGTATTCTACTAATCATATCCTCATCTTTATCAACCAATAGACCAATTATCAACTAGACTTATTCAGAGTCTAACTTTTTCTTTTCGTACAAACACACTTGCTTCCTCACCAACGGCCGTTTTAATAAACATCGTCCGATTTCCTGTCCTACTCTGACAAGAACAAAATCTGAGCTAAAAGTGTGACACTGATGTTTTGTCCTGGTATTTATACAAGACAGGGCATACTCTCAAGGTACCTTTATGTCTGGCATGCTTTCTGAACTTTGTTTTTTTTTTATGAAGGCTTTGAGATAAAGGTGCTTATCATGTAGTATCGAGATTGTGTGTTTGCGATTTGCCGTTATGGAGAAATTCTTTACGTCAGTGTATTTAACCCATAACAAACTGAGAGTATATATTTTAATTTATTTGAATATTCATTTTTTTGGAATTCTTTGCAAATATAACTATAAACTAATCAGAACAATAAACTAGAGATTAAACGCATCAGTGTCTTTCAGAATAAAGGGAACTGATTTCAAAAAAAAAAAAAAAAAAAAAAAAAAAAAAAGGGAGAGAACTAACAGTAAAGAGACATCATCCTTGAAGTATAGAAACGAAACATGCTTCAATGTCGATGTCCTTCCCTCCCCTCTAGTGTACATAAACATATTTATGTATGTATATAATTACATATATATAAAACATGTACATATGTATGTGTGCATATGTGTGTATACGTATATGTATATATGTATATATAAATATTAGTATATATATATATACATAAATATGTATGTATGTGTGTGCGTTTCTCTCGTTATTACCATCATAATATGCATTATTATTATTATTCGTATTACCATTGTTATTAGTATCAGTGATAGGAGCAAAGATGATCATGATTCTTATTATAAAACCATTATTTGAATTATCACTATTTTTTCAATATCCTCACTATTGCTCCTGTTCCATGATTTTACGTATCGTTTTATTTTATCTAATAATGGTAATATATTATCAACGTTCTTATCAAACAGTTTATCCTCATTTCTATTCACAGTGTTAGGAAAGTGCACTGAACGCGGTAAGTTCGTTGGTGGTGTCAGTACACATCATCCAGTGCAGTGATTTGATTCATAATAATCCATTAAAACTGTTTTTTTTTTTATTATCATTATTATTATTAATATCCTCACTATGCGTCCTGTTCCATAATTTCATATATTATTTTCACTTTCATAATATCACTGTATTATCATTGTTCTTATCACCAATAGTTTACTATCATTTTTAATACAGTTATTAGGAAAACCTGTCAATATATTATGCAGTGCAGTAATCTGATTCACAGTAAATCTAAAAGTCCATTAAAGTTCATATATCTGTTTTTTTTCACGTATAAATATAAGCCTTAAAATGTTTATATATAATATATATATATATATATATATATAATATATATATATATATATATATATATATATATATATATATATATATTATATATATACTGTTCTTAAGCATCAATATTCCTAAAATTATGCGATGATATTGAAATCAAACATCATACTTTTTACAAACAACCGTAGTTCTGCGTATATATGAAATATATTCTTCCTACGTACTAATATTAATGAAATTATTATAGTGGCGTGGTTGAAATAATCATTAATCCATAAAATGGGGAAATGTTGCTGGAACGTACACTTTGTATGTACACATATATACAGACATACACATGTACATGCGCGTGTGCATTCGTGTGTATACACATATATGGGTGTATATAGGTACGTATATATGTATATGTGTGTGTACACGGATGATCCCATAACGATCTTTTTGTCTGTGTGTGAAGTAATGAAGCTTGTCTATAATTACATTTTCTCCCTAAAGATCTTTATTAAGTAATATCTTAAATAGAAATTGATCTTCCAATAGTTCAGTTCTCTTAAAAGATAATAATAAATGATAAATAATAAATCAAATGTGTATCAAATACTTATGAATTTCTTTTGTTTGTTCATACCTTACCATTTCCATACCTCGAAATTCTTAAATACTTGACGATTTCTTTCAGTTCATTAGACCTCATTGTTTTTGAGTCTCCTCGTGTGCGTGTATGTTTTCGTAAGTGTATGTGTATCTGTCTTTTGTGTAAATGTGCATGGATGTTCTTGTGCGTGGATGTACAGTACGTGTATGGAAATGTACAGCACAGCGAACTCGTATGGCGGCGTGAATACTACAGAAAGGGAATAAAAAAGGCTTTTGGTTTCATAGCTATTTTATTTTTCTCAGTCAGGATGGCTTACGCCCGAGCACGTCACTTCATTTTCCGTAGCCGCCACCGCTTCCACGGCTGCTGCCCTCCGCCGCCGCTGAAATCCGCTGCCTCCGAAAGCCGCCGCTGCCTCCGAATCCTCCAGCCCGCTACCGCTGCCTCGCTCCGAATGCCTCCACCCGCCTCCACTGCCGCTGCCAAATCCGCTGCCTCCGAATCCTCCAGCCCCGCTACCGCTGCCTCCGAATCCTCCAAATCCTCCCACCCCGCTGCCGCTGCCTCCGAATCCGCCGCCGCCTCCGCCAGAGAGCTTTCCACTTCCCAGGAAACTGCGGGGAGCACACTTCCGCCTCCGCCGCCGCTGCCGCCACGACTCCGCCATATCCTCCTCCGCCGCCGCCGCCACCAAGTGCGTTGCCGCCTCCGAATCCTCCAGCTCCTCCTCCAAATCCACCGCTTCCTCCACCAACACCCTTCCAAATCCGCCTCCTGCTGACCTCCACCCCGTCCTTCACCAAATCCTCCTCCACTTCCTCTCCTCCACCACCTCTACCTCCTCCTCCGCCACCTCTTCCTCCTCCTCCACCTCCTCGTCCTCCTCCTCCACCACTACCATATCCTCCTCCAGCCGCTGCGACGTACACCATCGCCATCACGGCCACCATCACCACCTGGAAATAGTCAATTCGCTTTTAAACCTTCAGTATTCTACTAATCATATCCTCATCTTTATCAACAAAATAGACCTAATTATCAACTAGACTTATTCAGAGTCTAACTTTTTCTTTTCGTACAAACACACTTGCTTCCTCACCAACGGCCGTTTTATAAACATCGTCCGATTTCCTGTCCTACTCCGACAAGAACAAAGGCAGAGCCAAAAGTGTGACACTGATGTTTTGTTCTGGTATTTATACAAGACAGGGCATACTCTCAAGGTACCTTTATGTCTGGCATGCTTTCTGAACTTTGTTTTTTTATGAAGGCTTTGAGATAAAGGTGCTTGTCATGCAGTATCGAGATTGTATGTTTGCGATTTGCCGTTATGGAGATATTCTTTACGTCAGTGCATTTAACCCACAACAAACTAAGAGTATATATTGTTACATTTCTTATTTGAATATTCAATTTTTAGGTTTCATATTCTTTGCGAATTGTAAGCATAACTATAACTAATCAGAACAATTTTAAAATTAAACGCATCAGTGTTTTTCCAGACTAAGGGGAAACTGACCTTTTCAAAAAAAAAAAAAAAAAAAAGTTAAAAAACAGTGAGAGAACTAACAGTAAGAGACATCATCCTTGAAGTATAGAGACGAAACATGCTTCAATGTCGATGTCCCTTCCCCTCCCCTCTAGTGTACATAAACATATCTATGTATGTATATGATTACATATATATAATTATATACATATGTATGTGTGCATATGTGTGTATATGTATATGTATATCTGTACATATAAATATTAGTATATATAATACATAAATATGTATGTGTGTGCGTTTCTCTCGTTATTACCATCAAATATGCATTATCATTAATATCATTATTCGTATTACCATTGTTATTAGTATCAGTGATAGGAGCAAAGATGATCATATTTCTTATTATTAAACCATGAATCATCACTGTTTCTTCAATATCCTCACTATTGCTCCTGTTCCATGAGTTTACGTATCGTTTTACTTTATCTGATAATGGTAATAAAATACCAACGTTCTAATCACCAACAGTTTATCATCATTTCTATTCACAGTGTTAGGAAAGATGTGCACTGAACGCGGTAAGTTCGTTGGTGGTGTCAGTACATCATCTAGTGCAGTGATTTGATTCATAATAATCCATTAAAACTGTTTATTTTATTTATTTTATTTTATTTATTTATTTATTTATTATTATTTTTTAAAATAATATCCTCACTATGCGTCCTGTTCTATAATTTCATTTATTATTTTCATTTTAATAAGATCATTGTATTATCAGTGTTCTTATCACCAATAGTTTACTATCAGTTTAATACAGTTATTTGGAAAACCTATCAAATATATTATGCAGTGAAGTAATATGATTCATAGTATATCTAAAGTTTATTAAAGTTCATACATCTGTTTTTTTTTTTTTTTTTACGGTATAACATATAAGCCTTAAAACCAATGTTATATATACATATATATATATATTATATATATATATATATATATATATATATATATATATATATATATATATATATATATATATATATATATATATATATTATATATATATATATATATATATATATATATATATATATACTGTTCTTAAGCATCAGTATTCCTAAAATTATGCGATGATATTGAAATCAACACAACATACTTTTTACAAAGATCCGTAGTTTCTGCGCATACGAAGATACATTCTTCCTACGTACTAATTAATTAAATTATTTATTGGCGTGGTTGAAATAATCATGAATCCATAAAATGGGGAAATGTTGCTGGAACGTACACTTTGTTGTTCACATATATACAGACGTACACATGTACATGCGTGTGTGTATTCGTGTGTGTATACACATATATGGGTGTATATAGGTACGTATATATGTATATGTGTGTACACGGATGATCCCATAACGATCTTTTTGTCTGTGTGTGAAGTAATAAAGCTTGTCTATAATTACATTTTCTCCCTAAAGATCTTTATTAAGTAATATCTTAAATTGAAACTGATCTTCCAATAGTTCAGTTCTCTTAAAAGATAATAGATTAATAGATTATAGATTAAATGTGTATCAAATACTTATGAATTTTTTTGTTTGTTCATACTTAAATATTTGACGGTTTCTTTCAGTTCATTAGACCTCATTGTTTTTGACTCTCCTCGTGTGCGTGTATGTTTTCGCAAGTGTATGTATATCTGTTTTTGTGTGTGTGTGTGTGCAAATTTGCATGGATGTTTTTGTGCGTGAATGTACAGTACGTGTATGGAAATGTACAGCACAGCGAACTCGTATGGCGGCGTGAATACTACAGAAAGGGAATAAAAAAGACTTTTGCTTTCATAGCTATTTTATTTTTCTCAGTCAGGATGGCTTACACCCGAGCAAGTCACTTCATTTTCCGTAGCCGCCACCGCTTCCACGGCTGCTGCCTCCTCCGCCGCGCTGCCAAATCCGCTGCCTCCGAATCTCCAGCCCGCTACCGCTGCCTCCGAATCCTCCAGCCCGCTACCGCTGCTCCGAATCCCCAGCCCCGCTACCGCTGCCTCCGAAAACCGCCTCCACACCGCTGCCAAATCCGCTGCCTCCGAATCCACCGCCTCCACCACCGCTGCCGAAACCGCTGCTTCCGAATCCCCAGCCCGCTACCGCTGCCTCCGAACCCGCCGCCGCCTCCGCCAGAGAGCTTTCCACTTCCCAGGAAAACTGCGGGAGACACTTCCGCCGCCGCCGCCGCCGCCACGACCTCCGCCGTATCCTCCTCCGCCCGCCGCCACCAAGTGCGTTGCCGCCTCCGAATCCTCCAGCTCCTCCTCCACCAAATCCACCGCTTCCTCCACCAACACCCTTCCAAATCCGCCTCCTGCTGACCCTCCCCCGTCCTCACCAAATCCTCCTCCACTCCTCCCTCCTCCCGCCACCTTCCCTCCACCCTCTCCTCCTCTCCACCTCCTCGTCCTCCTCCTCCACCACTACCATATCCTCCTCCAGCTGCTGCGACACCATCGCCATCACGGCCACCATCACCACCTGGAAAATATGAGATATCAATATTTATTAATTGGTTTACCCAAATCTGTTTACACTCTATCTATCTATCTATCTATCCATCTATCTCTCTTCTCTTTCTCTCTCTCTCTCCCTCTCTTTCCCTTCACTTGAAAGAAATCATGTTTATCGACACTGAAAAAATAAAATCATTCAATGGTTGGTCTCCCTTCTTTCCTGTCTTTTGTCTCTTCTTCCTGTCTCTCTCTCTCTCTCTCTTTCTCTATCTATCTAGTTAGCCATCTGTCTACCTGTCTACCTATCCTTCTGTTTATCTACCTTAAAACCTATTCTTTGTTTATCGAATGACAGACTCATCACTGCATTTCTTCGTATATGAGATCCTAAGTCTTACCAAGGAGCGTCTGGAGATCATGTCTTTAAGTGTTCGAGTGACAAAGACGGAGAATTATGTGCCGTAAGGGATAGGCCGCGCACCATTATATAGGCCTAGTACATCTTTTTGTTTTATCCTTGAAGGGTTTTTTTTTTTTTTTTTTTTTTTTTTTTTATTTCAAGTATTTTTTTTTTTTTCAAGAGTTTTACGGTGAAAGCAACTTTTTTTTATGTTCTGCTTTTTGTTCGTTTTCTTGTCCTTCATCCTTATTTTCTTTGTTCTGGATGATGTTTTTCTCATATATAGCTTTAAGATTTGTGCAAGAGTATATTTGTGTATATAACTGTGTGTGTGTGTGTGTATGTGAGTATATATATATTATATATATATATATATATATATTATATATATATATATATAATATATATATATATATATATATATATATATATATATATATAATATTATATATATATATATATATATATATATATATATATATATATATATATATATATATATATATGCATATATGGAAATAAATTAGTCTAATTTAATTCATTGAATCATGTTTGTTTATTGTGGGTTCTTCTGTGTGTGTGTATATATATGTGTGTGTATGTATACACACACACAGACACACACACATACATATATATATATATATATATATATATATATATAGAGAGAGAGAGAGAGAGAGAGAGAGAGAGAGAGAGAGAGAGAGAGGAGAGAGAGAGAGAGAGAGAGAGAGAGAGAGAGAGAGAGAGAGAGAGAGAAGAGAGAAGAGAGAGAGAGAGAGAGAGAGAGAGAGAGAGGAAGAGAGAGAGAGAGAGAGAGAGAGAGAGAGAGAGAGAGAAGAGAATTTAGAATGACATTGTACCTATTAGAGAAAAATAACTTTCGAACAAATGCAAAGAAACTGCTGTCAGTAAAGCAAGAAAATAAGAAATGTCGCAACACCGGCAGCAGAAGAACGAGATTAGAAACACTTTACATTAAAAAAAAAAAAAAAAAAAAAAAAAAACGATGCCTGTGAACTCTGTAATGAACTTAGAGTTAATGAAGATTTAAAAGTTATAAGGGAAGTTACGTGTTCCAGTTGAGGAAATAACTATAATATTTTTCTGAGAAAATTAGTACATATTGTGGCTTACGAAACATTTTCAGTTCATATAATAATTTATATACTTTTCAATACTTCATCATTATTATTTTTCATTGTTCCTGTTGTTCTTATTGTTATCATTCCTATTATTCTTTATTGCTATCATCATTTTCATTATCATGAT